GGAAAGCCAAGGGCCAGGACCTAGGATTTCAGTGGACTGGTGATGATGCCAGAAATAAAGAGGGCCCAGCACAGGAAGGATTGGAAGCTGCTGGAGTCTAGAGAAGGCACCAGGATGATCAGAGGGATGGAGCAGCTCTGCTTGGAGAAAAGGCTGGCACAGCTGGGATTGTTCAGCCTGGAGAAGCTTTGGGGAGACCAAATTGTGGCCTTCCAGGGCCTGAAGGGGCTCCAGGAAAGATAGAGAGAGACTTGGGACAAGGGATGGAGGGCCAGGACAAGGGAAATGGCTTCCCAGTGCCAGAGGGCAGAGATAGATGGGATATTGGGAATAAATCTTTCTCTGTGAGGGGGGAAGCCTGTGGCACAGGGTGCCCAGAGCAGCTGTGGCTGCCCCTGGATCCCTGGAAGTGCCCAAGGCCAGGTTGGACTTTGGGGCTTGGAGCAGCCTGGGATAGTGGAAGGTGTCCCTGCCCATGGCAGGGGGTGGGATGGGATGGGCTTTAAAGTCTCTTCCCATCCAAACCATTCCATGATTCCCTGATAAGGATTTTGGGCAGCTGAACTTTTTGGTAGGCTGCTCAATCTTTAGATATAAAATATCTCTATATCTCTCTAGATATGTATGTATATTTCACATATGTAAAGGCTTTATAAAGACTTTCTCTAAGGCCAAACTGAACTTTCTTTTCCATTTTTTGAATCCTGACACAGTGATTTCAAGTGATTTCAGAGATGAGACAACTCATCTTGTTGTCTGCATGAGGAGCAAATTCACCTTGTACCCCACCATCCCTCCTGGGGTCAGGATCCTTTGGGATCTTCTGCTGGGAGAGAATGCTCATCTCTGACAGTTCCCAGAGGAAAATTAGTTCATAAAACCACTTTGTCTGATCAGAGAAATCAGTTTAGAAAAAGAACATTGACCTCAGACCGTCTGGACAGTCTCATAATCATCTATAACAATCAGACTGATTTTCAGCCACTTGGCTTTTATTATTCCTAGGGTAATAGTCTTACTTTTCTTATATTTTTTTCCAGAGTGCAGTTGCAAGAAAATATACAAATAAAATGGACAAAAACTCCAGTTTGTGATTTCTTGCTGCCCTATTTTGTGCAACATTGTTTTGATTTTACTCATGAAAACAGCCCCAGAACATAATAGCTTTTAAGTTACTTGTGTTTGCTGTTTGGTACACTCTTAAAAAATAAAAGAAATTTCGAAATTCTTAGATTCTGCTTGAAAATAACCACAAATAGCAGGCAAATATAACCAATACAAGCAAAATTCAATATTTCCCCCATTTTTTCCTTTCCTTTCCTGGGTGGTTACACCAAAAATTTTCCTTCTTTCATTGTTACCTTTCAGGGAAGTGACAAAAACAGGTTTTAATTTTATTTCAGTTGTCTCCTCTCAGTATTTATGAAATTGTTTCAGGCCATGGTTGAGGAGAGTTAAGTTTAAATGTCTTTGTATTTTGTTCCTTTCAGCCTGAATATTCCTTATTTTTCCTTCTCCTTTCATAGGTGTTTTATTGTCCTCCCTGAGAATTTCTCAGTTGAGAAATCTGTCCTTTAAAACAGTTAAATGTGGTAAATAATAGCTGTCACTAGGAAGACTATTAACAGTAAATGTAGTAAAGCACTTAATTCCATCTTTTTTATGTTATTATATTTTTGCTGCCCAGTTTTCCATTTTTCCACTGCTGTGATTCAGATATTGAAATGAGTTACACATTGATGGGTGGAGTTTGCAGCAGTGGTGCAACAAAATTTCATCTCAATAATTTAAACCCAGTTTTTCTTTAGACATCTCTCATTTTTATATTCAGCATGAAGGGAATAGGGAATATTAAGCAGGAAAATGCAAGAGCTGGGAAGGAGAAGAGTGTGACAAAAAAAAATATTATTCACCTAAATCTTGGCCCATGAGGAGATTTTTTGTATTTTGTCTTTACAAGAAAACTTGTGGATGGGCCTTAAATGTAAAATTCATGGAATCATGGAATGGTTTGGGTCGGAAGGGACCTTAAAGCCCATCCAGTGCCACCCCTGCCAGGGGCAGGGACACCTTCCACTATCCCAGGCTGTTCCAAGCCCCAAAGTCCAACCTGGCCTTGGACACTTCCAGGGATCCAGGGGCAGCCACAGCTGCTCTGGGCACCCTGTGCCAGGGCCTCACCTCCATAACACAGAACAATTCTTGCCCAAAATCCCATCTATTCCTGCCCTCTGGCAGTGGGAAGCCATTTTCCCTTGTCCTGTCCCTCCATCCCTTGTACAGAATCTCTCTCCATCTTTCCTGTAGCTCCTTCAGGTCCTGGAAAGTCACAGTTAGGTCACCCTGAAGCTTTTCTTCCCCAGGCTGAATAATCCCAGTTTTGCTCTTCTTACACCCTACCTCAAATTATCCACATATCTAATTTCTCCCTAATTTCCTAGTGCAGTGGCATGACTCATGTTCAAGACCTCACTTCCAAGTGATAATTAAGTAATTCCCTGATTGAAAATGGAGAACAGAATACACAGGGGATCAGTGCCCTGTTCCCTGCTGAAACAATTTTGCGTGATAGCACCAGCACAAATTAATTTTTAAGGTCCTGCCCCAGCCTAGCCTAAGTTTTTGATTTCCAGCTCTTAAACCTGCATTGTGCCATAAAAGAGCAGGAGAGTTTAGCAGAAATCTTAAGATCATGGAATATCTGCAGCTGGAAGGGACACACAGGGATCATGGATCCAACTGCTGACCCTCCCAGCTACCCGTACAATCCCAGCCTGTGCATCTCTGTTGTCCAAGCGCTCCTTCAGCAGCTTTGGGGCTGTGATCTGTTCAGTGCCAGACCACTCCTGAACCTTTCCCTAAAACAATCCTCATAAAAGTAATCTTCAGACCTCACTTCATCTTTTATTTACGTGTTTATTTACAACCTTTTGCCTTCTGCCCGTCAGGTAATTCATTTCCATCACCAAAGCAAACCTGATTAGCAGAGAGAGAAAACAAAACCAGGCTGTGTTTGCATTGCTCAGTCAATGTCCCTGCAGACTCCAGGAAAAATAATGGATTCAGGTTTGATGAAATGTCTGAAGGAGATAATGAAAACGTGTTCTAACCTACTCAGAGATCATTATGTGTGGTTGACTCAAGTTCGGGAATATCTCCATAACAATCCTGGAATTTTTCCATCACAATGAATCTGGTGAAAGCTGCTGGGAATGTTGGTCATGACTTTATCTGCCCAGGGCCAGGTGACCACGAATGCTGC